ACTTTTCCCCAAGATTGGAAGGTTGTGATGGCCGTGATGTGAGGAGTTTCTGCCAGGCGACTGGCACAGACTTGTCCGAAGTGTTAAGCAGTCTAATTTATAAAACATTTCTACTGCCTCAAATTGCTCACACTTTTACTTTACTTATATATCTAGTGGCTTCTGTTTAATAATTTTAAAGACATTAGCATGTTTGATTATTTTTGTATAACTATTAAAATATGGCCCTTAATGTAGTATATTTAAGTAAAACAAAATTAGTTTCTTATACTTCTGGAGGTCAGAAATCTGAAACAGGGGGGCTGGGAATTTAGCTCAGCAGCACAGCACCTGCCTGGCAAGCGCAAGGTCGTGAGTTCGATGCCTGGTACCGGAAAAAAACAACAACAGCAACAACAACAAAAAGAAATCTGAAACAGGTTTCACTGAGCTGAATATCAAGATATTAACAGGGCTTCCTTCTTTCAAGAGGCTTGGGAGAATCCATTCCCTTCCCTTTTCCAACTTCTAGAGACTGGCTGTATTCCTTGACATGACCCATCTTCCATCATAAAAGCCAGCAATAACTGGTAAAGTTTTCTCTTGTCATCCTGAAATTCACTTTCTTACCTTTCTCTTTACTTATAAGGACTCTTGTGCATACACTGGACCTACTCTGAAAATCCAGGATCACCTCTCCATCTCAGATTCCTTAATATATCTACAAAGTCCCTTTTTATATGTAATATAACATATTCACAGATTATGGGGATTAGGAAATTGATATCTTTGATATCAAATTGTTATCTTCCATTAGTCTGCCTTCCAATCTATAGCAAAACTAAACTCTATATAGTATGTCTAATAAAAGGACTGGTTTATAGTTCTTTTGTATTCTAGAAAATAGAACTAATGTTAATTGTATGGTTGGAAATTATACATAGATTTTTTTTATCTCTAATTAGAAAATTTTCCAGTAATGGAAGTCATTTTAAGAAGAGAGACAGAGGGGTTGGGGATTTAGCTCAGCGGCAAAAGCGCCTGCCTGGCAGGCGCAAGGTCGTGAGTTCGGTTCCTGGTACCGGAGAAAAACCAAAAAAACCAAACAAACAAAGAAGAGAGACAGAGAACTCTTTTTAGGTGTGAGAGATGGGTTGACCAGTTAGCAGTCATGTCAAGGAGATTCCTACTTTGGGTAAGAAAATAGCTTAAATTGCTCCTAAAAATCTCTTATTTTTAATCAAGGAGTGGGAGAGGAAGCTGAGCTATCATTGTATTTATAGGAATCATCCTATGTAATTGTAGGGACTGGCAAGTCCAAGATATCCAGAGTAGGCCAACAAGCTGAAGACACAAGGAATAGTTAATGAGTCTGAAGTCTCCAGGTTGGAAACTCCAGTCTGATTTCTGTGTTGCGGCCTTGAGGCAGAATTGCTACATCTTTGGCAATCCTCAGTCTTATTCATAATACCTTCAATTGATTGGATAAGTCTCACTCATATTATGGAGGGTAATCTTAAAGCCTGCTGATTTAACTGTTAAAATATTTTCATAGCCATGTCTGGACTGGTATTGACAACACAACTGGTCACCACGGCCTAGACAGGTTGCCACATAAAGTAACCATCAAACAGAGTTAGAGGTTGAGCCCCAGACCTAACTAGCTGTCTGGCCAGCGTTGTTCCTAAAGGACTGTACTCTCATGTATCCCTCCCTTCTTCCCTCCCTTCTTCTTCTCCTTCTCTCCTTCCCTCCTCCTTCCTTCTTCCCTCACTTCCTTCCTTCCACCCTCCCTTTTTCTGATGCTTTACTTAGTTGCTGCAGTTTTGCTGCTGCTTTGATCTTCTATGTGAAGTTTCAGTTAGTGATGTAATTTTCCTACATCCCCTTTGATGTTCATTTTTAGATTTGCTTGCAGACAGTTTTGAATTGGCTGTGGAACTTCTTACACTGAATTCACTAAGTATATTTAGTGGGTTGATTTTTTTTTTTTCCTGCAGCTAAATCCTTCAACTAGCCAGGTTCTTTTATACAATTTTTAAAACACTTAAAATATATTTTTTGTTTCTTCTTCCTTTGAAGTTATTATTACCTGACGAAATAAATAAGATCTTTAAAATAGGTCATTGAGAAAGAATAGGCATTGAAGACAGAGTCAGAATTCATTTTAACCCTCTTTGAGATTGTCTCCTAATTTCCTCAGTTCCCCAGTTTACTTTTTCTGCCTACAGGATGTAGTTGCTATTGTGGGAAGGGAGACCTAAAAATTGCTTTTGATCATGTATTTCTATGCTAATTCTGTTTAAAAAGTTAATGAAAATTTGAATAGTAATGATTATTTACATTGGTGAGTTCCTGCTATCATCAGGTTTTATTTTAAAGTAGTGTAAAACAAGTGTATTTTTTCCTTCGAGTTGCTGAAAGTAACTTCTGGGAGAAAAACAAGAAACTTTTTAAAGATCTAGTTATTTTAAATTGACATAAAAAGTGTATATATTTATCCTATGCAATATGATGTTTTAAAATATGTATACAGTGTGGAGTGGCTAAATTGTGCTAATTAACATATGCATTACCTCACATATTATTTTTTTGTGATGAGAACATTTAAAATCTACTTCCTTAGCCATTTTCAGGAATGCAGACACCCCGCCCCCAGATTGATCCTAAGGTCTTCATGCATGCTAGGCAAGTATTTTATCACTGAGCACTGTCTCCAACCCCAAGACCCCATTTAAAAAAAATGAACTACAATTGTATTAACAATTCTGAACTAACGTTTACAATTAAATGAAATGATATAGTTCCCTAATGGAGCAGAAATTTAGTGACCTGAACTACAACCTACTCTTGCTACTTGTTAGTGTAGCTTCTGTTTTCTGATCTGTGAACTAAGAGGCTGGAACCAAGGCTCAGAGGCCAACTCTGGATGTGATTTTTATGATTTTGACTCCTACAGTGTGTCAGGTGGAGAGAGTTAAAAGATAATTTCTTAGAGTAGATGAAGATAACCTATGTCCAGAAATGTGGGAGGAAAGAACTCTGGTGAAAGAAGATACTAACAAATGATGTTCAGGTTTTACTCCCACGTAGGTTATATTTTTCTCACTGTACCCTTCTTCCTCCTGCATGTATCTTATTAATTCTCTTTGTGAAATAGTCAAGGCTGCTATTCCCATTTCATAGACAAGTGTTCTGAAGTCTGATGAGGCCATTCTTTTTCCACAGATGCCGTGTTTTAGATTAAACTTGTAGAATTATAGAATATTAGAGTTTGAAACTCATTTGGTCCAGCTACCCTTTTCCTTTTTATTTTGTATTTCTACTGCATCGCCTTTTGTTTTTTTTAACTTTTCCGAAATTTTAAATAATAAGAGAAATATATTATCAAGTAATTTTTTGACATTTTGCCTTTTCATCACTCCTTAATTTTCAGTAGGGTTACAAATTAGATATATAGTTAATTGAATAGCAGAGTCTATGACTTTTTAAAGCTGTAATATTTTAGATTAACAGAAAAGTTTTTGTTGTGTCTTATAAACTGGACTGTAAACATATTTTAATTATTAGATATGTAAAATGTGAAAAACTCCAGGGTAATACAGAAAATTTTAAATCTTTTTTTTTCATACTTGGGATTGAACTTCTGTAATCCTAGGTATGGAGCTACATCCAGTCTTTTTAAATTTAAATTTTATTTTTTGAGGCAGGGTCTTGCTGAGTCACTAAATTGCCTAGATTGGGCTCAACTTTACCATGCTTCTGCAGCCTCCCAGAGAGATGGGATTGCAGGTGTGTGCCACCGTGGTTGGCCATCTGTTATTTTTATCCTTGAAGTATATTTCCAAAGGTGTACATCTGCCTGTGAGTAATAAGACCTGTCAAACTGGAAAGCCTGTTCTGGAAATTAACAAGTGTTTGTGGGACTTAAGAGAAAGGGATGCTTGCACCTCTCTGTATGTGACACTTTTCCTTTAACCTATTTTGTAATGAAATTTCCCCTTGAGAATAAATAGAGATTATCCTTTCTTTCTGTCAGATCTAGCCTCTTACTTTTTACTTTTATGTGATTAATTATGAGGAGGAGTGTGAAAAGCTTTCACTTCAAGACACAAGTATGAAGTTTCCCGTTCCACAGTGGAGAAATTTGTAAGATAGGGGATCCCAGCTTGAAAATCAGGTCAGGGTTCTAGGCCATAGGAGCCTGTGGCCAAAGGAAAATGGATACATTATTGTCAGGCTTGGATTTAAATGCTAGATCCTCTCCCACCTGCTAGCTTTGCAACCTCTAGTAAATTACTGAATCTCTCCAAACACGGTCATCAAGGCTAGTAGTGCCCCACGTCTTAGACCACTTACTATACAGTGCCGGGCACAAAGTATGTACTTACTAAGTTAGAAAAATAGCTTCAATAGTAGTTATCGTTATGTTTTATATAGTAAATATTCCTATAATTATATCTTTTTGGTTAGTCCTACCAAAATGTAGATTGGTTGAGAACATGAACTTTGAAATTAAAGCCCTAAATAAATATTTGGTCTCTGATCAGTGCTCCCATGCTTGTGAGTCTCTTCCACATATTTCTTTTCCATTTATTAAATAATACCTTATAAGTGCTCTCTTTGGTTTATTTGGGTATATTTTTAAAAGTGGTTCTGTGCAATATAGACAGTATGTTTGAAAAATAATAGTGTGCATTTACTTCAAATTACTGTTGTGATCTCAAGTTCTAATATATGTCATTAAAATTAGTTGATGTTTGTGAGTCAGATGAGATTTAGTGCTTAAAGTTGATAATCAATAGACTTAAGTTTTAATGGTGTATCAGTTTTTGAAAGAAATTTTTAAACTAGTACTTTTAGGCAAAGAAAGGTAGGAGTCTTATTTCTAAAACTTTAGTTTATACTGAGCTTTTCCAGGACACATCTTTTGCTGATCACATTATGTCCATACTAGATTTCATGTAAGTTTGTTAGTTTGTTCTTTTGGAATTGTGATTGTGTTATTCATTCCTTTCCAGAGCATGAAAGGAAAAAGCAAAAGCAGCCATGATCTGCTTAAGGATGACCCACACCTGAGTTCTGTTCCAGCTGTTGAAAGGTTAGTCTGCATTGGTGTGATGCTAAATTCTGACTTTCAGCCTCTAGTCATTTTATTGCATTTGTTAGCAAAAAGTCAGATCTCATAGGTCCAAGTTTAATATCCAGTCTAAAAATAGTGCATTTTGATAATGGATGCAGAGAACTTCTAGCATGACAGAGAGAGCAGTAGGCATTTTTACTCTTCTTGCTGTCTACCTTTGTTGAACTAATTTCATTTGAATTTAAGTGCTGCACTGAGGTTGTGGTTCCATGGTAGAGCCCTTATTTGGCGTGCCTGAGGCTCTGGGTTCAATCCCCAGAGCTGGAGGGGAAAGTTGTCCATCTTTTAAATTTTTGTGTAGTCTGAATATTAGAAACTGTTTTAGCAGTTTATGTTCAATCCAAGTTACACTGCTCTTTCCTTGAAGCATTTTTGTCTCAGTTAGTGTCATGGGGATGCAAAATCAGAATTGAAGGTTATTGTTAAGAAGTTACCACATTTTGGGCCAATCCACTGAGTATAAGTTCTCACATGCTTTTATGGATTAATAAAAATTGTCTTATGATTTTTGTTGCCTCTCTTTGAGAGGGAAAATCTTAGTGTTTAATATAATTACATGTAATATATTGAGCCAGTGTCTCAAAGGGGTACTAAAATAAATAGTTTAGCTAATGTTCAAAAATTCTACTTCAAAACAGTTTTTTCTTAATATCTTTATTATCCTTTTATTGAAGGTTGTTATTTCCTTACTGAAAATATTTTAAATAAGCAAATAGAAAGTTATTTTCTACAGACATTTATTCATAAAAAAATGGCCTTGTTGGTGATTCTTTGCTTTAAAAAAAAATCCAGTAAATTCATATATCTGCTATAGCATATTGCTTATTCTATTTATTAAAAATACCTCTCCATCTACTGTAAAATGCCATTTTGAGATTCCCATGTTGAAATAAATTTTTGAAACATTAATCCCAGCAAACTATTCTAAATTTTTGGATTATTAAATAATTTTATTAGTTTCACTTTGAAGCTAAAATTTATTTGTCTGATTTTTTTTTGTAGTGAAAAAGGTGATGCAACAGGAAATTTAGATGTGAGTATTGATTTTAGTATAAATATAGCCCAAACAATTTATAGAAAGTTCAAATTTTTATAAAAAACGACTTATTTTTTCTTTTAAAAGTAGGGCTGGGGATGGAGTTCAGTAGTAGAGCACTTGTGTAGCTAGCACATGTGAGGCTGGGTTATATTACCAGTACTACAAATAATAATGATAATAATGTAACTTATATCACCTTATAATTATACATGTAAACATTTGAAAAAAATTGAAAAATAAAAATCTTTTCTTTTATTATTAGACTATTTCCTTCCAAGTATGCATGTATTTCCCTACAAAATTGGGATTTTTATATATGAATTTTAGCTGCTCATTCCTTTTCAATAATGTTAAATATTATCATTCAAGACTATTATGTTTATTAGTTGTGCTGGCTTACAAAACTAAAAAGTAGAAGAAAGATTTTATTTTAATATGTAAGAGATAAAGTTTTTCAAGTTATCCATATGCTACTTTTTGTGAAAACCCATTGATCTGTGCATTGTATAATTCAATAGGAAACATAACATTCTATGTGAACACAAATTTATCTCTTATCACAGTCAATAGAAAGGGTTCTCGGACTAGCTGTATTAGAGAGATAATAAATACCTAACTTTGGTCAGGAAAACCTTCATGTCTTGCAGGAGAATTAGAAGTTAAGTGGGTCATAAAGCAAATGGTGTAACTCTGTTAGAGAGTGCTTGCCTAGCATGTGTGAGGCCCTGGATTCAATCTCTAGCACTAGCCCCCTCCCAAATGTTTATTGTATAATTTTGTAGGGGATTTGTTTCAGATCTCCTGAGGCCCAAGCATGGCAGGCCTATGCCAGTGGTTGTTAGCATGCAGGACTTAAGAATTACTGATGCATCTTGTTGGAAACATTCATGATTCCTATCCCAAGAGGTTTTGGTTCAATAAGTCTGAAGTGAGGGCTGGAATTTTTAATAAATAACTGTGTGAGTAGTCTGAGAGTTAGACTTTGAAGACCACTGATCTAGGGACTTGTAAACCTAAAGTTAAGAATTTTGCAACTACCAGATCAAAATATCATAGAGAAAAATGATCCATTTGATATCATTCTTTTCATTCTCTTCCCTCTCCATCACCTTCACTCCTCTGTCAGTAATACTAGGAGCTACTCTAAAAGTAGCCTTCATGGAGTGTCTTCCTTAATTGGGTGGGAAAAGTATACACACAAGTAAGTGCTTTGAAAAATACACCAGAAAAGGGGAATAGAGAATACTGGAGGTAGGAGGGTGTTCTACCGTTTTAATAGGGTGATCAAGAAAAGCATCACAGAGAGGGTAGCATTTGAGCAAAAAGCTGAAGGAGAGGAAAGAGCATATAATGCACATAATCTAGGATAAGAGTGTTTCAGGCTGGAGAGAACAACTCTCAAGTTGATCATTGCTGCTGGGTTTGCGTTATAGATTGTCTCAGGGAAAGAGTAGAGGATCCAGTAAACGAAAATCCACTGCAGAAGAGGAATGATTGGTGTGCCTTATAGGAATAAATTGCAGCTTCTGCATACTTCTTCTGTTGGAATTAACCCTTCATTGAGTTGCTAAGCTGGCTAACTACCACCAGAAGCACTTTTCCCACTCAGATAAGAATAGGAGTGTAGGTAGACACAACGTCCTGGGTGATATAGAGGGAGCAGGCTATGCTGCAGAGGAGCTATGCATGAACTGAGCAAACAGCTCTTCCTGGGGTATCCCATACTTGCGCAGTGGGTCTAGAGCAGACCCCAGGGCTATTCCCAACCAGAGCAGATTCTTCAAGCATTTGCTTTTCTGAAACAAAACAAACACCAAACCTGGCATAGAACGCAATAAGGAAATTCTGAGGTTATTCTCTGGAAGTGAATGGGAAAATTAAATGCCTAGTAGATACTGAATTTCTATTTCCACAGGATGCAGAAGGGGAGAGTGCAGACCCTGATGAATATATTGATGGTGATGAACAGAACCCAGTGAGAGAAAGAATTGCAAAAAAATTAAAAAAGGACACAGGTGCAAATGTGAACTCAGCTGGAGAGAGAGAAGCAGAGAAGAAATCAGTCACCCGCAGGTGAGTCAAGTGAGTCAATTCTTGTGCTTCTGGGTGTCAGACTTCTGTTCTTTTTACACTTCAGGTAAGGTTGAGTCCTCTGCTCATCTAATTTTTAAAAGTTACCATTCATAATGTTTGATAAATAGGAGACTTGTATAAACTGGCCTGTTTTGGAACCTAAAGAAAATCAACCAGGCTTAACGTAAATATGTACAGCAATGGTTCTAGGACTTAATTCCAGTACAGGTCTCTCTCACTTCTTTTTAGAAAGGCTCTCTATATTTTTATATCTAAGGTAAGAATTATTTTAGCTGTATGTGGAAGGTTGTGTTTGTTTAATATCAGTGAGAACAGTACAATAATTCCATAGAAAGAAGAGATACCCTCAAATAATTTAGGTGAGTAAAATTTGTCAAAATGGTTAAAGAAAGTGGGCCTGAAAACATTTTTATGTACCTTTGCGTGTCTGATTTACCAAAAATGTACTCCTCCTAATCTCAGTGGGATCATGAAAGAAATTTCAATAAATGATGAAAGATTCGCGATCTGTTGGTAAATGTTTGTTGGATTTTTTTGTCTCAACATTTTATTCTCCTGATAGTCAACTCAAAGAAAAAATTCCTTTCCTTTGTGATTCTATTATTATAACTTGGTAATATACTTTTCTTTAAAAAAGTAATAGTATTTGTTTTCCTTATGTGTTCTACATTTGGAATAAGTTAGATCTAACTACCTGTAAATACTTTTTTTCAATTATATTTCTCAACCTCATCTAAAAAAACTTAAAAAGCATTTCTGTTGCATAAGTTTCTCAATTTTTTTCCTTTATATAACCAGAAATAAAAGTGCATCCCAAAAATTTCCACTGAAAATAGGACCTTTTGCGTTTAGAAATGGTACTCAGAAGTTACGGTTTTTTTCAATAACATTCACCTGCAATTCCTGTAATTACTGCTGAATAAATTAATATTGGGCTACTATTGATTGAAGATTTTAATGATCATATACATGGAGTTAAAAAGCCTCTCATGAGCTCTGTAACTTTTAGTTAATTTATGAATATTATCAAGGATTCAGATTTTTTCTCTGACTCAAAGGCTTGTGTTTTTTGATTTTTAGTTATAAAGTTTTTAAAGATAGATTTATAATACAGCAGTATTTTTTAGATTTCTGGTAGATTAGATAAATATGTATTTTCATTATTTTTAAGTGGTCCATAAGCACTCAACTCTATCTCCTTGGCTTAATACAATTTCAAATACTATGTACCTTAATTAACTGTCATAATTAAGCAAAATTGCATTTTTTATAAGAATTAAATAAAGCTTATTTGTAACATACTTTTCATAAATGGCATTAAAAAATTGGTTACCTAATATAAAAATATCAAGCAGATTGCATTTTGCAAGTGTGTTCATTCTTATATGTTTATCTTTAAAAGATTCCCTTATTTGTGGTAGTGACCCAAAGAGCAAACAGGACATTGATGGCTAGATATAGGAATATGATCTTGATCAGGAGAATAAAGGGGAGTCATTTGAAAGGGTTGTTTTGTTATGTTTTATGTTTTGTTTTGTTTTGTTTTGTTGAACATAGATTTAAAAGTGGAACACTTCAGGAATTTGTGTGTCATCCTTTTGCGGGGACCATGGTAATCTTCTCTGTATTGTTCAAATGTTAGGGTATGTGCTGCCAAAGTAAGCACCAAGGAAGAGTCTTTACAAGCGGATGATGAATTGTTATTATATTTAAAAAGTGTGGAGGAAAGATTGATGAAAGGCTGTTTTGTATTGCTAAAAAAATTGATAAAATACCATAAGCTGAGAGGCTTCAACAACATTCTTCTTCACAGTCCTGGAAGCTGAAGTCCAAAATAAGAATAAGAACCCAGCACTTGGTTCCTGGTGAGGGCCCTCTTTCTCACTTGAAGATGGCTGCCTGCTTGTTGTGTCTTCACATGGTGAAGAGAGCTCAGTGGTTTATCTTCCTTTCTCTTTTCCTAAGGACACTGATCCCATCGTGGAGTCTGAATGTACCTCCCAAAGAACCCACCTCCACATATCGTTACATTTAGAGTTTCAGGGAAGTTCTGGGTGCACATACTTCAGGTCCATAACAAGAAAGGGAGATTGGAGGAGGTCAGTTAGAATGCTGCATTAGTAAATCCATGAGAGAGATGGTGATGACCTGAACCAGAACACTGATTATTTTAAAGAATACTTCACATGAATGTGATGTTTAAATAATTAGATGTATTCTTGTTCTCATTATTTGAAACTTAGTTTTTCTTAGAATTTCTCACGTAGGAACATGCCAGGTAATATCTACTTGTGTTAACAGTTTTCCCTTCTTATTTTACATGACTATAATTTGCACATTTAAACTCAGGTAGCCTTAACCCTCTGACGATTTTGTGTATTCACTCTAGAGGAAAAAACTACTTAAATGCTTTGCAGGCCTACCAAGAAAGGTAAGTTAAATAACAGCATTAAATCTCCAAAGGTGGTTTTAAAATTTTAGGAAGCATATGAGCATTTTAAACATTATTTGATTTATTTTTTAGATAAAATACTTTGCAAAATGACCTTACAAAACATGCAAAATACTTATTTATAACTGCCCCTGTGTTCAAGCAGACTTGCTATATTCACATCTTCCTTTTTCCCTCCTTCCTCTTATTTCTCCTACCTACAAAGAGAAACAAAGGAGAAATAAGGAGGTTGGTAAGTACAGGCTTTCAAAATACAAGTGCAGTTTTTCTCTTCAGTCGAGAAACTTTTATGATTGTCTCATGACCACATATTTTTTAGTTTCCAAAATCATTAGTACTTTTTATTAGTTGTACCGCTTCAATATACCTTAAATCTCAAGTTAATTACGTGGTTAAACACACATACACACAAACATATACACATACCCCAAACCAAGAAACTTCTAAAAGTTTTTAAAAATTATAACGTGGTAGAAAGGATAATTATATTGAAAGGAAACTCAGTTTACTTTAAATCGAACTATAATGGGTATAGTTAGAATGTAAGTGTGAAATCCTTATTTAAAAATCAATGCTCTTTTTTTTTTTTTGTTTTTTTTTTTTTTCCGTTACTGGGAATCGAACTCACGACCTTGCGCTTGCCAGGCAGGCGCTGTGCCGCTGAGCTAAATCCCTGGCCCTCAATGCTCTTGATGTATATAAACTTTTTCTCAGCTTGTACTTCTAGTATTTACTCCATTATCCTTTGATTATTTTCTAATTTGAGCAGTAGTATCAGAGACTAGACTAGTCTACCAGTCCTTTAGGTAAGGAGCCCTTCAAAGTATAACTTTGCTGAAAATTTGTAATATTGCTTCTATTGGTAAGGAAACATCTGGAATAGGTTAAAGATGCTGATTGCCTTGAATGTTAAACTACAAATAGGTTAATTGAATAGTTAGCATTTAAGCTGGGGAAGGATATTTAACAATGTAATTTTCAACAAATGTACATACATGGGAATCTTTCCCTACTGATATATTTTCAGCAATGTCTCTAGTTGTGCCTGGACCTTTGAAAAGTATGTAGGGGCTCAGGGGCAAAAAAAATCTAAAATTCTTTCTATTTTCTGTTAATATGGAATAGGTACCCTTGTACCTACTCTGATATCCCCAAGATTTTTAGGCCCTTGTGTCCCCCCGCCTTTATTTTATTTTTTTACTGTTCATTAGTACATAATGATTACGTTCCTTACAGTAAGTTGCTACAGGTACATAATACACTTTTTTTTTTTTTTTTTTTTGGTTTTTCTCCGGTACCGGGAACCGAACTCACGACCTTGCGCTTGCCAGTCAGGCGCTTTTGCTGCTGAGCTAAATCCCCAGCCCCTCGTAATACACTTTAATTCTTTTTTCTTCCTCTCTTTCTCTTGCCCCTCTCCCTCCATGTCTTGATCTTCTTCCCATTTGAGAAAAATCTCTTGCCCTACTTAATATTATCTCTTTTATTTTGCTCTTTATTTATATTTTGGGTTTCTAATATAAAAGAAATCATGTGATATTTAAGCTTGTGTGTCTGATTTATTTCACTTAACATTTTGGTCCAAAGGTGCATTCATTTCCCTAAATATATCAACTCCACACTTTTGTATCTAGCACATTCTCTATGCTTATGTCTTGATTGCTGGATATTGATCAGAAGAATCACACAGGCAAGAGCGAGTTGGTATTATGATGGGTTACTGGTTTCCAGCTTCAGCTGTGCCTCTAATACTTCTGTATTACTCCCTGCAAGGTTCGCTTCAAACCTCCAACTCTCAGCACATTACTTAGCCATCTGTTTTATGAAGTAAGAGGGAATTTCTTCAGCTTGTATTCCTTTCTGTCTTCCTCGTACCCTGTTAGGCCAATTCATACATCCTTCCCCTCTGTTTTAAAGGGAGAAGATTCCCCCACACACATAGTGAGACTCTGTCTCAAAAAATCAAAAATAAAAAATTAAAACAAGATAACCCTGTTTTGACAAATCACTTTCTCTTCTGGATCCTGTAAGGAACTTGCTTATATTTTCACATATGATTTATTGATTTGCCTATCATTGCTTACACGAAGGTCCTTTAGAGATGCTATTTTATTAGCTTTACATCCTCAGTGTTTAGTGTAGTAAGCCTATCGTGAATGGTTAGTAGAGTTTGTAGAATGAGAGGATAAATGAATAAATAATCAAATTGTGTATTATTACAGGAGTGGTTGTTACTCCTATAATCCTGATTTCCAGGCTCTATACTCAGGTTCTGAATCAGAACACACACACCCCTCTTTTTTTTTACTTTTTTACTTTTAAGTACGGTATTCATATGGCATTTATTTATATAAACTATATTTCTTAGTACACGTATCATAATTACAGAGCTTGTTGAAGTTTTACAAAGTAGATACTCCTATATACCATCACTCAGATCAAGAAACAGACAATTGTGGTTTTCTGGAATTCTCCCTCTTTCCTCATTCTGGTCACTTTGCTGTTTATTGCTTAAAAGTTACCACTT